GCAGAGGCTGGACCTGCCAGCTCATGGATCGTCAAAGAGTGAGAAAGTGAATTAACTTTTGTTTTGCAGACTGTTCTTCCACTCGGGGGGCCATGGGGAGTGGGAAGCAGTCAAGGGCAAGGTCCACGTTGGACCCAGGCAGAGACCCAGTACCCTCTCTTTAGACCCTGCTGATTGAGGACTGCAGATGCATTTCCACAGCATATGGCCCCTGCTGTCCGCAGGTGACCCGGGCTGGGCTAAAAATCCCCAAATCTAATATGAGAAGCCCAGATCAACCCCATCCGGCAGCTGGGACAGGGCCCAGGAAGCCATGTTTGTTGATTTGCCTAAGAGTAGAACTAGTGGGATGCTTTGCTTCAGAAAAGTGAAGAAGTTAGTGAGCCTTTTAGAATCCAGAAGATTCTTTAGAGCCGTTGACTACCCCCACTCCATTCTTGGCTCTAGCTTGAGTGACCCAGTCTAGTTTGACCACTTAGCAAGTGTTTGCTGAAAGCCAGCCCCTCTGGCAGGGCACCAGCGGGGAACACTGGGACCTCAGACCTCGGGAAGGCAGTGTTTGGAGGAGGGACGGCGGGAGGAAGGATTGCCAGGGGCCCTGTGGCCACGCACGGCTCCCGGAGGGCCCTGGTGGACCGGGGCGGTTCACCTATGAGAGGGATAGGCTGGGTAGAGCTCCAGTTGTCTGTCTGTGGATTCAACGAAGTGACACCTGGGGAAGCACTTTGTAAACTGTCACATGGGGAAGAAATGCCAGATGACGTCACCGTGTTTACTGCAGGGCAGGGAGGCTGGCAGAGAGGTGAGGTGGGGACAGACAGACTTGCCTTGGGAAGAGGCACGGGGTTTTTGGTCCGGGAGCACTGATGGTTGGGAGGCTGGGAATTCTCTGGCTTTGCAATCCCTGTGGCCATTAAAGGCTGTGGACCAGGAGTGATGGAACATGACAGGATCTGATCAAAGTAGTGTTTTAGGAAGATGGGCCAGGATTCACTCCTCTGCTCTCCGGGGCTTCCTTTTCTGTCTCATGGCTTTTCTGTTGCATGGGGCCAGTGCTGTGGCTCTTTAATAAGATCATCTTGGACAGTGTGGGTTTTTGTTTGTTTGTTTGTTTTTTTATGAACCACAGCATTGTTGAACAGGGAGTAGGTCCCCATGAGCTGAGCTGCTTGCTCCCTGCTGCCCTGGGAGATAGCAGACATCAGATGGGACGATGCCAGACTCCTGCATTTGGAACCCAACACCCTGGGCCTCTAGGGGCTGTTTTTGTGATCCTGGTGTGTTTTAAGAGACTACACAATTGATTTTTGTGTTTCATTAATTGCCTAGGGCCCCAAATGTCCTTTTCTGGCATCCCTCAGTGATGAATCCTGGGCTTTTTTGATCCATACAATGTCCCACTTCCTTTTGGGAAATAGAGGCTGTGTTTGGATATGAGGTGAGATTAAAAGTGTATGGATTCGCAAATTTTGGAACGAGAAGGGATCTCCTCTCTGTGCCCAGGCTTCATTGTCCAGTGTGTGAATTAGGAGACTAGCAGAAGCCCAGAGAGGGATGTGACATTCCCCCCAAGGTACATAGCAAGTTACTGGCAAAGTAGGCACCAGGGTCCAGGTCATCAGACTGCCTGATGAGCATCCTTTGCGCTGTACCTCCTGCTTCTTGTCCCCCTTCCTTCTCCACCATTCAGATACCATCTGCTGGGACCAGTGCCTTCACTGGACTCTGCTTCAAACTGCTTCATCACACCTCCCAGTACTAAAGGTGGGAAGGGACAGCCACGAGAAGATGTAGCCTGCTAGATTGCCACTTGAGCGTGTCATCCACCAGTTCCAAAACTTCATCTCTCCCTGTTACCACTATACCCTCTTCCACTAGCAAAGTCAGACTAAGACAACTCCTCCCCACTTCTTGGGCCCAAACAGTGTTCTGGACCTATTTTCTGTTGCTCTAGGAGGACTTTCCTTCACATACCTAAAGCAGGCATGGCTAGGGCAGGGGCTGGGCAATCAAGGCAGGCTTCCTCCAGGAGGTGGAACTGACAAGATCTTGAAGTGGAGCAGAATCTAGACCGGTCCAGAAGGGAGGAATGAGGTGTAAAGGGAGGAACTCCAGGGTGTAACATCCGGGAGGCCCCAGCTCTGCTGGGGGCTTGCCAGCGAAACAGGCCCACTGGACAAGCCCAAAGCCCAGGCCCGGTAGCCACGCCTGCTGGCCTCCAGTTGCTGCTGAGTGTGTCCTGGCTGGAGAAGGCACCTGCAGTGGAACCAGCTCCTCTGTCTCGGGGAGGCAGAAACCAAGACCTACCCACACCGTTGGAGGAGGTAGGAGGCCGTTGGAGGAGGTAGGAGGCCGCTTCCAGGCGGCCCAGGAGGCGGTCACCGGGTTTATGTTAATGCGGGTCCTCCCCCAGCCTGCGCTTAGCCTATTACCCGGGCCGACAGCTTAATTACGCTGCAGCGCGCCTCAGCTTGCGTTGCTCGGTTCCCTAAAATAATAAGGATGGCGTCACCGACTTCCCGCGGCCATGTGCTCCCACCCGTGCCTCCCGAGCTCTATTGTAGGAAACAAACAAAATCCAGACACTCAGATGCTTGCTTTCTTGGAGAGATATTTTTTTTGTTTTTGTTTTTAATATTGGGACCCTGCCCCGTAGTTAAGATTTTCAGAGTCTTAGCTACAAGGCAGCTGCGGAATATCCTCCTGTTAGCAGAAATTCGAGAGCTGGATGGATGATTCCACAGTCTTCCACTGGGGACTGTGATTTCTAATCAGAGCAATGGTGTGGGGTGGCGTGGCAGGAGAATCTTCCAGCGCCTGGTTCCTGGGCTCTGGACCAGCTCTGGACCTGGCTTTTTCCTCTGGCTAAACTCGACCAGCATTTTACAAGCTGTGGATCACATTTAAGAAAGAAAAAAAAATGTTTTAACGTAATAGATAAGAGCAGTGGTAATAAGGTATGTTTTGTTTTGGTGTGTGTGCCTGTATACACAGAACATGTATGTGTACACCGAGCCAAGGCATAAATATATTTTTTACTGTGGGTTGTGGTCAGAAAGCCACTGACCTAGATGATCCCGAAGGCCTTTCTAGCTTTCGAAATGTCCGACTTTTCTCCCACAGCCTGTCTTTCCCCTCGTGGAACCTGACTGGTTTTTGCAGGCTTTGCACCACAGACTATTAAGCAACCGTAGAGATTTTTTAGGGTCAAAACAACAAAATCACTAGCATCTGTCACTCCTATTGAACACCTTGGGGAAGAAGCTCATTCCCCCTCAGCCTTGGTGACTCAAACAGTTTGGCCTTCTAGCTAGAAATGGGATCTGCAACAGGGGATGGCCCATTTAAAAACTGACCTATTTAAAACCCATGAGCGCCAAAAAAACACGGGGTCAATTTGATTTGAGTCTCCTCTTCTGTGTAAGACTGGAACCTGAAAGCTAAATTGGTCAGGGACTGACAGGGTTGTAACCGAAGCTACGAATATTTATTGAACTCTTGCTCGGTGAAAGAAAAGAAAATCTCAAGGCTCGAGGGTAGTCGGGGGGTGGTGATGGGAAGACACAAAACAAGGTGTAGATGTGAAATCAGGAGGGGTATATTTTGGGTGTCACGATCTTCGCTCTCCAGAGTGTTGGGAGGCTTCGTGCGTTCCGTGAGAGCCAGCTTTGGCGGCTCGGACCTGCTGGCCTGCCTCTGCTCCCATCTTGTGCCACGGCTGTGGACACGGTGGTAAAGGTGGCTATGGATCAGGGAGAAGGCCAGTGGCTCTTCCCAAGCTGGAGATGCTCTAAGTGCATTATTCCACTTAATCCAGCTCTAGGTGACGGGCACTATTGTCACTGGAGGAAGCGGAAGCTCAGGGGAGGTGAGATGAGCTAGCAAGTGGAGAATGTGGACTTGAGCCAAGTCTGTCTGACTCCAGAGCCTCCTTCTGTCCACCTCTCCACGTTGCCTCCGGAAGTGCTGGAAAAATAAAGAGCTGTTCTCACTTGAGCTTCCCTCTGCTTCTGGCCTTCCGAGGGCTCTGTTGTAGGCCTAAGCTGCCCATTTAAATCAGGGCCCCCTGACCGTGGGCATGTGACCCATGCAGTCACACAGGGCCGTGGGCTTTGAAGGGCCCTCCCTCGGGTTTCATGCACCGCTGTCGCTGTTTTGGAATTCTTAACGATTTTTGAGCAGTGGGCCTTACATGTTCATTTTGAACTAAAGTCTTGCCAATTAACACAGCCAGTCCTGGCTTTGATACAGCTCATCCCCTTTCTGGGTTTTTCTGGGTCCCTCCTGTCTTGAGCATGCCTGTCCTCTCTGGGGAGGAGGCATTTGAAGAATGCACTCCGTCCCACCCTCCAGCCTGCTACCTGGCACACTGCTCCAGTAGCTGTTTACCAGCCATCAGCCTCCTCCCCGCCATCACCACACCTCTGGCTGGCAGGGACCCCCAACTGTGGCTCACCACCACCTCTGAGTCCCCTCAGCATTTACCCAGGTGAACCATGTCCTAGGAACACCCTTTATGGAGGGAGGGGCTTCTCCTAGGCAAGAGGTCAGTGTACCAAGCACTGGGTCAGGGCAGGAGGAGTGTGTGCAATTGGCCTGCCTCCTGGGGACACACGACACCCTGCAAAACATTGTTTATAAGAGGTCAGGTTCCTTCAGTCTCTGTGGGGCCAGTGACACTGTAAGTTTCACGATGGTTTGACTCACTCTGTATGCCCGGCACCTAGTAGTGTGCCTGGCACGATAACCAGGACATTTGTTAAGCAGTTGCTCCGGTGTCCGCTCCCCGCTAGGCTGATTACGAGGAAGGACAGTCCCTGACCTCTAGGAGGATCGGATGCTTAATACACGATTAAATGATTCATGTGGCAGCTGCCCTCAGTGCCCTGGGATGCTCAGAGCTGGGTGGGGGAGGCTTCCCGGGGAGCGGGGCCTGAACTCCATTTGTGGTGCAGGGGTAAGATGTGGGGAGGGGTGGAGAGGGGAGGGCCGGTCCTCCTTAGGTCAGTTTAGGAACTCGGGGCACCCTCCCCCCACAAGCGGCTGGAAGCCAGGAGGAATGTTTCTTAGGCTGGAGTTTGCACTTTGTAGGTTAAACAGATACCGTCCTCCCCCTTCCACAGAGGCAGAGCCTCAGACCTCGGGGACAGAGTCAGGGTCATCAGCCAGCCGGGTCCTTGGCCTGTTTCAGTCTTCCAGTGTCCCCGCTGTCACAGAGACCCCTCTTTGGAGGCAGAAACAGACTCGGAGTGACTTAGATGATGACCGTGACCAGGACTGCAGTGTAGAGAATAGAGAGGAAATGATCAAATTTGAGAGAGCTGTGAAGACAAGATTTCACAGTTTTGAAACAAGCAACGGGTTGTTCCTTAGAGGAATAATGTGTTTGTGTTTATCACGGACGTTTCAGCTCCCATTGGTGAGAAATGATTGCTGTGTCCTTGCTCTGGGGACAAGTTTTTCAGGAAATGCTGGAGCCGGACAGTCTGATTTCTTGGGAAGCTTCACTGCCCACCCCCAGCCCCAACCTCTCGTGGGGGCCGAGGATGAACGTGCAGAGTCCTCGCAGGGCTGACACCTGAGGAGCGAAAGCAAAGAGTCCTGTGTCGTTCCATCCATGGGTGTTTGAAAAGCTTCTGACACCAGCGGAGTAAGCTAGTTGTTGGGCTAGAGAGAGAGTAACCACATTCAGATATTTTTAAAGGGCCAGTGGAGTTGGGAGAGAATCGAAACCCAAAGTACAAATTTTCAGTTTAATTTTAACTTTGCAGTTAGCTCACACCCAGGATTTGGCACGGGGACGTGGACCTTAATTTTTTTTTTTTCTTTTTTAAGCAGAACACACCCTGAATGTAAAAGGGGATACGCTCTTTGCCTGGAATGGCTTGGAATGGCTTGGAGCGGCGGCCACCACACAGACAGGAGGAAGTGGGTTGGAATAGGAGCAGGAGTTCAGAGTGGCTTTGGGGAGCGTTGGGCTGGTTGGAGGTTTGGAAACATGTGAGCCTGTCCAGAACTCTAGGAACGGGTGGCCCTCCCCAGAGGCCAGGGGACCCAGAGGGTACATGTAACGACTCCAGGCCGCCTGTTGGGCTGGCATTTTTGTTTTTTCCTATTTGGTACATTCCAGACACTTCGTAGGCAGCCTGCCTGCCATCTCCAGAGTGACAGTCCCTCCCCAAAGCATCCCCTGCATGGTTTGGGCTTTCTGGTGATATCAGCAGCCTCCAGGCCTAAACCTCGACCCCCCCCATCCCCTATCTCTTTGGTCTCTTGCCCCACACACTGCTGTGAAACCCCCTGGCAGGAAGGAAGTGCAGAACCCCGTTGAGGTCCCCAAGGCTCCACAGACCTGACCTGTGAGGGCCACCTGCTGACGCTCCAAACAGCACAGGCTCCCCCAAGTGGCTGGGGCGTGACCTCTTCCTACTTGGCAAGAGCAGGGTCTGAGGTCTCCCAGCCCCTCTCCACATCCTTGCTCCCTAATAGCAGTGTCCTCTGAAGGAGGGCCGACTTGAGTTTGTTTTGTTTAACGGAGGAAGTGTAACCAGGCTAGGGACCGCCGGGATGGCCCCCACCCTGCTGGTGGAACCATGAGAAAGAGGGGTGTCAGGGGAGCTCGTAGGGTTGTGTTGGGTCTGGGAGAGCCTGCGGCTTACATTTGGGAACGTCTGAGAAGCTATCAGGAGCCAACACCGACCAGCTGGGTCCACTAGGCACCATCCTGTTCCATTCCTGGGACTTCAGGATTGGTGGTTCTGAGGTGGCTGTCACGTGGGAAGCACCCCCCTACCCCCGGGGAGCCCTAGTGAGGATTAAGCAAGCTGGTGCAGGCAAAGCATGTCGAGGGTGCCTGTGAGGGCTCAGGAAAGATCCGCCCGTTACTATTAATAAATACATTAGTGGTAGTGGCTTGTGTATTGTCCCCGAGAGGAACGGCCCCCAGTTGGTGGTGGTGCTGAGACTGGGCCCCTGGGTCGGGCCGTAGAATTCCCAGGCAGCATTGTGCTTCTCTAGAAAAGAGGCCAACTTCCAAGAGGAGTTCCCCTGACTCCCAGCACCACCTCCCCCATCTCAAAGACCTTCTTTTCCTTGGCTGATGGCCGGAAGAGGAGAAGCCCTTGACCCGTCTAGAAAAACCACATGTCTGAAATCTTTGAGGCTGGACTGGAATCCCCCATATTTGTCTTTTCTCTGGTGGAGCTTCAAGAATTCCCGGTGCCTTCTGAAGACCACGGGCCCTGGGGCTCCAGTGTTAGGAGCCACCAGAGGAGGTGGTCCTCCCTCCCCCCATGGCAGCTCTCCTGCCATTTGCCCTGCTGCCCTAAGGCCTGGCTTCCTGGCTCTACACTGATTTCCTGCCCTGGGGCAGAAGGCCTCGCAGGATTTATTCCCAGGCACTCTTGCCAGTGACCTTGAGAAGGTGGCTTGACCTGGACATCTGGCCTCTCCTGGGGACTGAGGGAGTGGAAAAGGATTTAACTTCTCCCTTCCCAGATCCAAGGGGAAGGCGGGCCTTGGCGGCCAGCGCCTCGGCCCGGAACTGTGAGCTCTGGGAAGGAGCTCCCGCGCCTGGCTTGGCCCCTTCTGGCGCGCTGCCGCTGCCCGGGGCTAAGCACACCACCTCCCTCCACCAGCGAGGAAGAAATCGGGGCAGCCGTGGGGCTCTGCAGCCCAGATGTGCCCCCGCACTCCTCTGGCCTGCCCCCTGGGCACAGCAGGCCCCCTGTGGACTCTGTTTCCCCCAGGCTTCCTGTTGGCCCCAAGAGGCTCAGGAAGGGGGAAGGACCAGAGATTGGCGAGCCAGTCGTCCTAGAGCCAGCAGGAAGCTCTGGGCAAATCGCCGTGCTTATCCAGGAGAAGAAAAGTCTCCAAGTGTCTGGAATGACCCTTTGGACAATGTGGGAATGTGGGACTGCTGTAGAGAAGAACTAGCCATACTGTCTGACCCATCGGTGACAATAACCTGTGGGTGGAAGTCCCAGGGAGGCAGCCTACCATTGAGGCATGCTTCTTGGGGGCTGCAGGAAGCGGGCAAGTGGGGATGTTGTGTCAAGCACCTGGTGCCGCCAGGAGGAGTCACACTTATGGTGCCTGCCAGCCCTGAGTGGCCAGGGAGCAACCAGACTGCTGGAGCAGCAGTGGGTAACCAGAGGCATCTGCCTGGTGGGCAGGACACCCTGGCCTCCCTTGCTGACTCTCCAGGGTCATTCAGGCCCGAGACTCGATTACCCTCCTCGGCTTGTCTCCCCCTGTACAGGAGCCTGGATCACCTTCAGCCACACCGACCTTTTAGCAACCAAAGGAGAAGTAGCTTTTTATCAGTCTTTCTACAGTCTTGGAAATACAGGATTTGAACCCAAATGGGGGTAAGAAGAGAAACAAGGAGAATCTAAGAACTCTAGCAGCAAAATTGCCTCCAGGCAGTTTGAAAGAAGAGACAGGCAGGGTCACAGAGGTGCTTCCAAAGACCAACTTTTGTACTTTGACGGCCTCAGTGTGTCACTATGGGGCCATCCTCCATTTGTGGGGTTTCATTTTTTTCCCTTCACGTCTAACTCAGGACCCTATGAAGAGCAGGGTCTAGAGAAACTCCCCTTAATATGGTAACTATAAGTAGTAAGTATTTATGCTTAAAACGAGGAAAATGAAAACTCAGTCCCTCATTCACACCAGCCGCGTTGCAGATGCTCAGTGGCCACGCTTAGCCAGTGGCTCCTTTCACGGACTCAGCAGGTGTCCATCGTTGTGGAAAGTTCTATTGCACAAGGTTGGTGTACAGAATGGAGAGTGGGGGGCTCCCTAGTCTGGTGACCATGGTGATGAGCACCAGACCTGGTGGGTAGGCTCTGGCTGGTGAGCCTGTGACAGCAGGTGTCCTGGTGTCTTGGGACCCATCCGCACGCAGAGTTACAGACATGTAGAGGCAGAAAGGAAGGTGGGGCCCGAGGATGGGAAGTAAGGTAGCAGGTCAGGCTGCGGCCACATGGGCATGGGGTTGGAGGGATCTGATGGTGTGGCTGGTGTTGGCGGGAAGCTGGGGACCGTGGTGGCTTATTTTTTAACGGCAGTTTTGGAGGAGTGGGGCAGTGGGGTCAGAACGAGCCTGCGGGGCCTTGCCCACAGCAGCAGGGCTTGTGGAGTTTGTCACCTGCAGTCTGGCCGAGGCTCCTGTCCCAAGTGTGTGCCGCCGCCCGTCCCCTCCCTGCCGCGCTCCTCAGTTGGTGGTGCCATGCTCCCAAAGAGGCAGAGCAAATGTTGCCTTTAGTACGCCGACGGACGGCTTTTTGGGCCTGTCTCTTGGTCCTCCCGAGGGGGACGACCCCCTCCCCAGCCTCAGCCCCCAGTCCGCGCCTCCGTTCACATTGGCCTTCCTTTCCAGGTGAAAGAGCTTGTCCTGGACAACTGCCGGTCGATTGAAGGCAAAATCGAAGGCCTCACAGATGAATTTGAGGAACTGGAGTTCTTAAGTACAATCAACGTAGGCCTCACCTCAGTCGCAAACTTACCAAAGTTAAACAAACTTAAGAAGGTAAAATGGGTGGAGGAGTCTGTGTGTGTGGGGAGGTGGGGGTCGTTACTTTGTGATGAGGGAGCTTCCCTGGAGGTGAAGCCAGGCGAGCACCGACTCGCCGTCTGCCCAGGGCCAGCGCGCTGGGCCCTCAGACGTCATTATAAGAGCTCTTTCTGCTTTCCCCCTCCCTGCCCCGTTCAGCTTGAACTAAGCGATAACAGAATCTCAGGGGGCCTGGAAGTATTGGCAGAAAAGTGTCCGAACCTCACGCATCTAAATTTAAGTGGCAACAAAATTAAAGACCTCAGCACAATAGAGCCACTGGTGAGTCACTTGGGTCTTTCCCTCTGCATGGGATGGGAGGGGGGAGAGACTGGTATCAGGGAATATTACTCTTAGGTTTGTAGTATGGGTTTTTTTTTTCTTTCCCACTTATCTTACTTTATTGGGCTCCCATTACGTGCCATGAGATCGAGTTGGAGCTACTGTTTCTGCTTTGTCCATAGAGAAGTGGAAGCCTAGAGACGTTCAGTGGTTTGAGCAAGGTCACACAGCCAGAGTGGGCAGTCGGGGGCAAGGACGGGGGGTCAGGTCAGACCCTTGCCTCAACTTCTGGTGGCGTGCTTTTCTTCTTCCACTTTCTGCTCAGCTTCAGAAACATGAGCTGTCATTTCTTAGAGCCTGATTCCTTGGCCCTTGTTGGGGAGGGAGGAGCCATCCAGGAGTGAAGCTGCCCCTGGAGTTTGCCACCTATTTTCCTTCTTGGATAGCCGGCCTTCCTGTAAGGGGCACACAGGAAGAGTGGCTGACCCCTGGTCTCCAGGCCTTGCAGTGATGGTGACCAGGGCCTCATCTCCATATGGCTGCACATACCCCCACACTTTGTGAATTGTCTCACCAGCAAGGAACAAGGCATGGTCAGAACAGCAATTTCTGCATTACCTGGGATCTGATGGATTGTGTTCCCTTGATTTGAGCTATGTCATCGATTAATAGCTTTCTCGAAATACAGAAATACCGTCACCTGAAATAAGCACATTTGCCGTAAACGTACATATAAGAACCCTCCCAGAGGATCACGCACCTTAGGATTGGGGGAAGGTCATAAGGATATTTTGCCAGGTTTGCCACATTTCCCGTTTTTTAAGTTTATAGAGGAGAGGTTGGGGCATCCCTCAGTTTGGGTTTGTAGGTTCTCGTCCAAGAAGCACCCCTTGCCCTCTCTGACCGCTGGAGAGGCAGATTGATGGGCAGGGCGGCAGAACCAGACGTTGGCCCTGCTTTCTTAAGCTCAGACTTCTCCCCTCTATGGCCTGGAGTCAACTATGAGATATATTTCCCGTAGATCTTCTTTTCAGGTCTTCCGCTGACCTCCTAGGGCAAAGCAAAACTATTTTGATCTACCTGGAAGCCTTGATTTTATGATTTCATAAGAAAATCTTTGAAGTTCAGTATATGTGTATTTTGGGAGGCGGGTATGGAGACCAAGTGTACGTGTATATAAATCATTCTGATTCGGTTACCATTAAAGGTCAGACCTAGACACAGTGTACACACACACCCTGCTGCCCAGGCCACAGGTGCTTTTGTAGCTTCTCCTTCCGTGGTGACCAGTGTGATGGATGCGCTGTGCTCACCTCCCCAGGACAGGAAGGTGCTGGGCTCACCCACCCAGATCGAAGCCCAGACACCTTCCCTGCCCTTGACCTGCTGAGCATGACTTCTCACTCCTGAGATCTTGAGAGCAGCCAAACTGTGATCCCTTCTGCCTTAGCAGGGTTGTGAGGATAAACGGAGTTAACACCTGGTGTGCTGTGTCCATGGCCAGCACCCTCCCTGGCATTACTGATAGACCCCCAGGACTTTGCTAGCTCTTGCCACCTTCTTCGTTCCCCTCTGGCTCCTTAGCCACAGAGGCGGCAGCAGAGCTTCTGGCTGGAGCCCCAGAGGAGCCCAGGTTAATTTGAAGCCAGTCACTGATAGGGCCAGAGCTTACTTGCAGACTAAATGTGTTGGCATTGGATGAGGCTTTAGAGGTAGGCCCTAGAGTCCATCCTCTGTTTTCCAGATGAGGGACCTGAGGCCTACCAGCCAGGGACGGGCCAGAGCAGAGCCGATTCCTCTGCCTGTTGTCTGCTCCCTCACTGTTGACTTCGTCTTTCCACTTGCAGAAAAAGTTAGAAAACCTCAAGAGCTTAGACCTTTTCAATTGTGAGGTAACCAACCTGAACGACTACCGAGAAAACGTGTTCAAGCTCCTCCCGCAGCTCACGTATCTCGATGGCTACGACCGGGACGACAAGGAGGCCCCCGACTCCGACGCCGAGGGCTACGTGGAGGGCCTGGATGACGACGAGGAGGACGAGGATGGTGGGTGTGGGGGTGAGGGCGGTGGGGGCGGCCAGGTGGCCTCTTCTTTCCGCAGCTGCTTCGGAAACCTCTGTCCCTGATCTTTCTCACGGGGGCTCAAACCCCCCAGAGAAGCACCCTGAGGCTCCCTGATTGCACAGTAACTCCTTAAAAGAGCATCTAACTGAACCCTCCCATCAGGTTTTTCCTCTTTTTTCCAGAGGCTCCCCCAGAATGAGATCCTACAGTGTCTCTCTGTTGTGGGGAAGGGGGGTGAGCACCTGGAGGAAGGTGGGGTGTGGCCTGAGGGTCCCATTCAGCTGAGTCTCCACTAGTGGAGCTCAGGTCGGGAGCCCCCTGGTGGCTGCAGGCCACAGGACCATGGGACTTGCAGGGTGTGCCCCAGGGGTCCCCCGGAGGTGGAAGAGGCTTGCGGGAGGTACACTGGGCACCCTGGCAGTACAGGGGGGTGAGGGTGAGCCCGCAGGGCCTACAGGGAGGAAGGAAGGAAGGAAGGAAGAAAGGGAAGGACCACCTCCCACTGTCCCCTTCCTGTGCACCAGCACAGTGCAGCTTCCCTCGGGTCTTCATGGCCACAGGAACGGTGGGAGTGGAGACATCTGGCCCATGCATTCAGGCAGCAGATTTCTTGTTTTTCCTTCTCAGGTCAGAGTATTTTGCAAGATAGTCACCTACCCGTTTGCTTTAGTTTATTCTATCTTGTATAGCAGGCCCCAGGGCCTGAGTCCTGAGACCCGGTTTCTAGGCCCACCTCCGTGGCTGACTTGATGTGTGACCTTGAAACAAGTACCCTCTCCCCTCAAGGACTCGTATCTTTGCCTTTAAAGCAAGGAGTCTGGCTAGATGCTGTTTGCAAAGAAATCGACCTCTTGGGCTTTTGTAAGCCCTGTAACTTCTTCCTCTGATCCAGCAGTGTCTCTGTGATCTCAGCCTCTACATGGGATCTTTTGTTTTTGTAAAACTCGGGAGGAGGACTTATCTTTGGATTACTTTAGGATGTGTTGAGTCACATTGGAGCATCCAGGCTTTGAGCCTGGGTGGCTGTGGGAGGGTCCCGGGGCGCCACAGAAGACCTGTGCCAGGCCCATGAGCCTGGGTTTGTGCTGTGAGGGAGGCCAGCTTACCACCAGTGCCCTTGTCCCCATTTCTGGTGTACAGAAGAAGAATATGATGAAGATGCTCAGGTAGTGGAAGACGAGGAGGATGAAGAGGAGGAGGAAGAAGGAGAAGAGGAGGATGTGAGCGGAGAAGAGGAGGTAAGAGGCACCATCTCCCCAGAGTCCCCCTTACTTAATGCCTATGAGTCGGTCCCACTCTGTGCCTCAGTCAGTGATCAATCTTTGGCAGCCCAGAAACCCCGGGTGGGGAAATGAGACTGTCTGAGGGCCTTTTATCGGACTGCCGGAGGGAATCAAGACTTGCAGCATGCAGGAGGGAGAGGATCCTGGAGGCAGGGCACACGGGACTTGTGTGCCGTGTAATAAGCCCGGGACTTGTGTGCCGTGTAATAAGCCTAGCCCTTGTTTCTACCAGAGAATAAGTTCTTAGGGAATCCACATCCCTATTTTCTGCCTTTTTGCATTCCTATGTTAATTCAGATATTTACTGAGCGCTTAGAGTTTGCTAAGGAAAACTGAAGACTACTTTGAACTCATGGGTGGTTGGGTAAGACCCAGCTGGCTGCAGATCAGAGTGACAAGGGTCCTTAGCACACATGGCAGTAGTACTGTTATCCTAACACCTTCACTGGCTCCCAGTTTCTTGAAAAGGTCTGCATGTCTATGAGGGGGTGGATCCCAGTTCTATCACTTGCTAGCTGTGTGTCCCTGGACAAATACTTAACCTTTCTGAGCCTATTTCTTTGTCTGTAAAATAAGTATTGTTTTATATCTGGGTTATAACAATAGGGATCAACTTGGTGAATTCTTGAGAATGTAATTCCCAAGTTACAATTGAGGACAGTGTTTGATCACTTAGTATTTTAGGCTTTCACACCCTTCAAAGTTCATGGCTCTGTGTGTTGGGTTTTGAGTTTGGATGATCCGCGTCTCTCTATACCAGAGTCATTTTCCATAACTTGTTTGGAATTCTTAATCAGCTCTTCCTAATTACAAAAGTCAGACCTGGAAAGGCTTAAAATGACAACAGCACGGACAAGGTACCTGCTTTTCCTTCCTGACTCCCTGTCTCCATCCTTTAAGGGTGCAGACAGCTGCCTGTCACACAGACCCACGTGGGCAGGATCTCCGGCCCACCCCAAGCTGGGGAGAAACAGGTCGAGACGAACAGAAAAATCCAGTGGGATTGGCCTGGTTCCTGCCTAGTTCAGCTACTGGGTTTCCCTTCTCCCTAAGTGCAGGCTGGTACTAGGCTCAACTCTGAAGAATATTGCGAGTATTTTAAAAATAAAGAGTTAGAAAAATAGGTCCTCCTAGGACAGGGCAGTAAGTCATGTTGGCTAATGGATTTTTCATCTTGCACTTCCCGTCACAGGAGCCACAGTATGTGGGGTTTTTTTGCCCTTTTTTTTTTTTTTTTTTTTTTTTTTTTTTTTTTTTTTTTGTAATCTCATTGACCATCTGCAGAGTTCCAGCTTCCAGTGAAGGAGAGCTTATACACAGACCAAAAAAAAAAAAAAAAAAGAAGAAGAAGAAGTCTTAGCAAACAGACTGAAAAAACTATTTGGTAACATTATAAAAGGATATTTCCCTTGACAAAAAGAAGTCTATCACCAAGTTCTTTTTAAACAATGGGTTGGTTGCCTGACGCTTTAGGAACGGTGTTAACATGCAGAGATTCAGCTAGCACAGGACTTCAGAAACAGCATGAAGCAGGAGTCCTGGGTTGAGAGTGAATTCTTGCACCTTGCTGGGATCTCAAGCCTGGGAATGATGTCTTTAGGGGAGGCCTTCACCTTCCCCTCCAAGTGATCCAAGTGTGCGAAGTGGAGACGGACTGGGTGGAGTGAGGTTGGACTTGCCCACAGAATCTGGATGTGCTAAAACCAGGATCCTCCCTTAAAGCCAAAACCATTTGGAAGACAAAGGAAAAAGGCTGGCTGGCTTTGCAAGACAGTCAGCTTGGGGAGTGTTTTCTCCAGAGAGCACACAGATGGGAAAGCTTGCCTGAGTTACAGGGACTTTGGGTCGAAAAATCTGAACCTGGTTTAGAACCTGCCAGCCCCCAGACACTGCCTGCAGATCCTATGTGTGATGTGGGTATTTCCTGGAGAAGGGGTTTGAGGCTTTCTCAGATTCTTAAAGGGATCCCTGATGCAAAAGAACATCTGCTTGGCATCCCGCGGTGGCAGGTTCTTGTCGGGGCTCTGGGAAGTGGAGCGGCCCCCATCTTTTTGATCCAGCTGTCTGGGGAAGGGGCTTTGTCAGCATGCCCCGGGCCGGGGAGGGGCACTCCTAATGTCTGGTGTCGGTCTTCTCTCCTAGGAGGATGAAGAGGGTTATAACGACGGGGAAGTAGACGATGAGGAAGATGAAGAAGATGTTGGTGGTATGGCGGCATTTTTACTCTCCGCTGGTAGCAGCCTGGTGTCCTCAGTTGGCGGTAGATGGCCAGGGCCCGGGGACCCGACTGGGGGCAGACTGCACCTGTGCAAGGCCCACCCCCTGTGCCTCCCTGGCTTCACAGATTTCCCAGGGTTGGCAAAGCTTCCCAGATGCGTGGTCCCATGGGTTCCGGGCAGGTGGGGTGAGTTAGAGGCAGGATCAGCGCCTTAGCCTAAACACCTTTTCCTTGCTCTTCCAGAAGAAGAAAGGGGTCAGAAGCGAAAACGAGAACCTGAAGATGAGGGAGAAGACGATGACTAAGTGGAATAACCCTATTTTGAAAAATTCCTATTGTGATTTGACTGTTTTTACCCATTACCCCCCCTGAAATCCCGCCCCCCGAAACTTATTTTTTCTGATTGTAACGTTGCTGTGGGAACGAGAGGGGAAAAGTGTACTGGGGGTTGTGGGGGGAGGGAGGGCGGGAGGGGGTGGAATAAAATACTATTTTTACTGCCACTCTTTATTTTTTCCCCCTACTTTTTCTTTGTGTCTGGTTTTGTCCCTGTAAATGCGATAGCTGAGTACACACCAAGTGAGCATTTGTTCCTTACTCTCAAAGAGGACGGTTTAGAGGGCTCTTACAATCTCCTGGTATTTCCCTGAGTCTCTGCAGTTGGTTGGAAGGTCACGGCTGGCCTCCCTTTGGTTTCTCAAGAGCCTGGGAGGGGCTGAGCACCAGCCACATCTTACCTGGCCCCGGTTCCCTTGATTTCTGCATTTCTTGGGCCTGCTCAAGGCATCCAACGCCCTGGTTTGTAAATAGCAACCTCAAGGCGTATTTTGGCTGGTTGGGGGACATTCCCCGTCTCTCATTTCTTTCCTCCTTCACAGATGGTGGTGGGCTTTGCTCTACGGAGAAGACTCTGATGTCACTCTTAGAGCTGGAGCCAGAGGGCTGAGAACAGCAGGCTTAGGAGTTAATGAATAAAATGGATTTGGTAATGATAATTAAAAGAGAAGAAGCAAACCCTCAAACTTCAACCTCTTTAAAAGATCAAAAACAACAACCACAACAACAAACTGTCCTATCTTGTTCTGTAAAATATTAGAACGCTTTGTTTTACGAAATGACAAGAGAATCCTTCCACACGTACTTCTGTGCTCAGACCATTTTTACAAACCTGAGCACAGGAGACGCTGCTGCATGTCGGCTGGGTTGTTTTTTTTTTTTTTTTTTCATACACCCGAGCACGGAAAAACTAACGCAAAATTGTATTTTCTTACCTAGTGGAAATCTGAAATGACTGCAAATTCCTAGTGAATGTACAGGTTTGCTCCCATGTCCCTCTTCTGGATTGCTTTAGAAGTGACGTGTTATTTCCTAGCCCGTGTTTCATCTGTATAAAAGAACATCTGCACCAGTTTTTCTCCTCTCCCTCAGAAGAGCCAAACTTTGAGTTTTATGTCTGTTTGTCATTGATAAATTTCAATAAATCTTTTTATACAATCTTTTTTTTGGGGGTGGCTTCTTTGAGTCCAGCAGGCCATTGATCTTTCTAAGATCTTTCTAAGATGCATTCCAGATAAGCTGCTAGCTGATGGGGGCGGGGAAGCAAGGGGGGGGCCCCGCTTAGCATTGTTATCTGATAAAATAGCTTCTTTTCAGGGTAGGTAACCTGACACCGAGTTTGGATGCTTTGGGTCTCAAAGCAAGGCTCGGTGGTGAGCTGTCTTCATCAAAAGCTTCATCCTCAGCATAAAAACCCAAAAGATGGAAAGATACAGAGTTATTCTAATGCCAGAACTGTCACAAAAAATTTTGTTAGGCCAACTTTGGGGCCTTATTTTGAATTCTCTTTCACGGTTTCCTTGTTCAGACTCTCAAGGAAGAACACGTGCTCGAAGACCTCAGGAACGCATAAAACAAACCTGTTGCTTTTTTACTCATCGTGATGATGGTAAGAGTTCAAAAGCATGTATCGTCATGCCTCTGAAGAGTTCAAAAGCATGTATCGTCAATGGCTGTGTAGTAGTCCATCAGCTCTCCTGACTCGCCAAGCTCTAACCGCACGGTCAGTTAGACAGACGTTTGGACTGTTTCCCTCTTCTAGCTACAGCAGATGTTCTGTTGTGATACTTTTTGTGGGTTTCTTAGTACAAATACTTAAAAGTGGGGTGATTGAACCAAAAGTTGACATTTCTAAGGCTAATATGCAAGGAAGGTTCTATGTTTTCCACAAGGGTTATACCAATGTGCTGTGTAATTAATGCATAGACGCATATGTTCATTCTCAGCCCTATAGCCTCGAACCCCACAGCGAGGCCTAGTTCTGTGCAATTCCAACAGAATGAGGTGCTTCTTGGGGAGAGACTGACACAACCTATCCCCTCAGTGGTGCCCTGGCACCGCTGTCCTTTTCTTTGGCACAGACATCCTCTGGCTCCAGGTATAGGATGGGGAGATAGCCTCTCAGAACCAGTGAAAGATTGTGGGAATGGGGTAAAACGAGGCACTCAGACCTGGCCCAGGATTTTCGGCCCTGACTCCCTCCATGGAGCCTTTAGGGGTTAGTTGACTCACGTAGATCGGGACAAAAATGCTCTAAAATGTCAGGTAAAATGGTTAGCAATGAATGGGTTAGTGCTGATGGGATTAAGGGAAGAGTAGGCAATCTGTACCAATCATACCAAGCTTTCACTTCAACTCTCAAAGAAAGGTCTTACTGTGCCCATTTTACAGATGAGGGAAACAAGTCAAAGTGACGGGAGGTAAGAAGAGATGGAGAGAGGATAAAATCCAGGTCTGTTGGGACTATTTCCATGTCACTGAACTCCGTTATGAATGGCAAGGAAGAAGGAAGCTCAGCCCAAGGCAGTGGAGAGGCAGTAAAAGCCTATCTACTGAACTTGCTATGTGCCAGGTACTGGGTTTTATTTACTGAGCCACCTCATTCATCTTACTGAATCCTCACAGCCACCCTAGGTAAATGCTGTTATCTTTGTTCTATGCGTGGCTCAGAGGGGTTGGCCCAAGGTCATGCAGCCAGAAAAGAGCAAAACCGGTAATAAGCTGAGGGGTGGGCAGGGGGGCGGGGTTTCCAGAACCAGGTTTCTTTGTACACCAGACTGCCAGCAGCCTCCCCACCCTGAGCTGGGACTACCTATACAGGCCAGCTGTGTTAAAGCAGTTCCTCCCCCTTGCCAATCAGGGTCCTGGGGGCAGAGCTTTCCGTGCTGAGTGCTAGCAAATAGCGTAGCATGGACCCTTGAGAGGGGGCGGCCCTTAGAAATCACCCAGTCATCCACTGTCCCATTAGACCAAAGAAGAAGCCAAAACCTGGGGTGGGGGGGCGGTGAGTGATGTGCCCAAAGTAGCACTGCAAGGCAGTGGCAGGGCCCAGCCTGGACCACAGGCCCCCGTTCCTGGGCTTCTCCTGCACCATATCTGCCACCTCACTGGGTTGCAGGGAGGCTGGCTATGTGGGAAGTGTGGGAGCATCTCCCAGAACAACAGAGCCAAGGCTTCGGTGGACAGGATGTAGCAAGAGCCATGGCACGTCCATGTGTTCTATGTGGCTGTGGAGTGGATCCTATGTTTTAAATATCCATGGGGGTTTGGCTCCCCCATTGTGTCACATCGATGATGCCTGGAATCGGTGTGCATTTCCTGATAAAGGACCAGTCCCTGGGAAGAGTAACGATGATGATGATGCATCTAGATCATGAGCCACTCTGTGCCATGTGCTTTATATCCATTGCCTCCCTTAATCCTGGCACAGAATTCATAGAATTAAAGTTTAAAGAGAAGACAACTAGCCTGGCTTGTAAGTAGCAGGTAAGCCTCAACCCTACGTCCTGCCGGTAGAGACCTTGTTCTTATCCAACATGTTAAAAGAGGCAGGCAGATGGGGCAGGAGGGTGATGAGCAATTTCGTTTTTCTCATTTGCTGACTTGCAAAGGCTGTTTTTATCCTTGTTCAGAAACTCATTGTTCATGGCTGGAAGGATTCCCACAGTGGGTCTCTAATAAGCAGCTTTGCACAATGGTGGCCGAGTCCCTGGACCAGCCCTTGGACAGGCCCCTGTGGCAGGCTGGGCCCCAGGGTGAGTGAGCAGGGCCAAGGAGAGGGCTGGGGATGGTGGCATGGGGGAGAGTGGGTTGGGCTGAATCAAGGCAGGCCGTGGGTATGCCAGCAGGGGAGAGGTGAGAAAGATTCCAACCTGATGGGACATGCGGTAGTCTGCTGACTGACGGTGACAGGAAACTGATGCAGGGGACATCCATGGAGTCAGTCTGGCAGCGACACTACAGGGACCATCAGAGGAACTCGTGTGGATACAGGACCACTCCTTCCCATTCCTGACGTTCAGGTGGGGCTACCCTCTCTGGTTCCTGGGCTGACCCAGTCCTGGTCAATCGGTGTATTCCAAACTGACTATAGGGACTGGTACAAGCAAGAGCCTGTAACCCAAACTTTAAATGAAGCTTGGTCCCTGGAATTTGGAAAATGAGAAACTTCCTGTTGTGGGGTTGGGGCTGGGAGGTTGGAGGCCTGGAGTCGTGGAGGCACACACATCCCCTGGAGAGAGCCTCTGGATCATTCCATCTCAGCCTGGAAACATCCTGACCACTAGGATGGAGAGAAGACACCAACATATATTTAAAACTTGTTGTCCGCTGGACATTGTATGTCCTTTTGCTTGTTTCTCATCTGGGAGAGTCATTCTTATTCCCATTTCAAAGACTGAACACATAGAAGTGCTAGATAAATATTAGCTGCTTGGTGCCAGATACAACAATAAATGCCTTCTAGAAATCAACCTGATGCTTTCCCAAACGCCCCTGATAAGAATCCCTGGGGCTTTTCTGATGACCAGCCCTCACCCCCTGGGAATTCTGGTTCAGTCACCCTGGATGGAGGCCTGGGAATGTGTGTGTTAACAAGTACCCAGAGGATTCTCATCACTGGCGACGTTTGGGAAGTGCTGCGTCAAAGTCAGTGCCCACAAGGGCCTGGCGAGGATGGTGTGGCCATCCCCAGTTGAAGTTGAGAAAGTGAGGCTCGAGAACCAGATTAACTAACCTGCCCAAGCTACCACAGGCGCATGATAGAACTGGGATTTGAACCCCAGTCTCCGCCACTTTCACGCTTGTTACAGAAAGAGAGTGATACTAACTACTGTGTAGCTCATAGGTTGTAAGGCAACGGGAAAGATGGGAAAGAATATTGCAAAAGGGAAGGCAAACTGCTATTAAAAAGAGAAGGAGAGGGGCACCTGGCTGGTTCAGTTGGAAGAGCACACAACTCTTGACGTCTGGGGTCGTGAGTTCGAGCCCCACGGTGGGTGTAGAGATCACTAAAAAAATAAACTTCAAAAAAAAAAAAAAAAGCGAGATGCCACTTTTATAAAAAGAGGCCCAAACAACCCAAATGCTTTCTGTAACAAGCAGAAAACAAAGTCCTAAAAGCCACTTGGTAGGACACCTGGGTGGTACAGTTGGTTAAGCGTCTGCCTTTAGCTCAGGACGTGATCCCAGGGTCCTGTAATCGAGTCCTGCGGCGGGCTCCCTGCTCAGCGGGAAGCCTGATTCTCCCTCTGCCCCTCCCTCCTGCTCATGTGTGCACACTCTCTCACTCTCTTAAATAAATGAATAAAATCTTTAAAAAAAAAAATAAAAGCCGCTTGGTAACTAAGATAATCTACAAGGAAGGTTCTTCTTCCCCCTCAAAAAATTTACATACAATAAAATTCACTCTTTGCATCAACTGTCACAGTCAGGGTTCAGTTTATGAAAGATCCTAGTTGTAAAAAAGAAATGGATTTGCGCTCCTGGGTATCCTCAGTCTTGCTGACCGCCCTCTGAGTGGTGACATGCACGTCCTGGCCCGGGCTCAGGAGTCGGGGGGGCCTGGACCCCCCCATCCTAGCTCTGCTCCGAGACTAATGGGCTGGGTGATCACGGATGCGTGGCCCTTCCGAGCTCTGAGAAGAGCAGTGCGGATTAAGTGACGTCTGACAGCCTCAGTTAAGGGTTTGCTGTGATTGTCTTTCCCTCTTGCCCTGAGTCCCCCAGTCAGGCCTCTGCTGAAAGGGGGACTTGGTGACGGGCCTGGGTGCCCACAGGGAGGGGCAAGGTGGGAGAAACAGCCTTCCTGGGGAGACAGGTGCACTCTGATGAGGAATTAGCAGAATGAGTCTCTGAGGTCTCACTGGTAGACAGATAGCCCGGTCTATGCACACCCACAATTGCCTGGGTAACCCAGCTGAGCCAGTCAGGAAGCTGAGAGAAAACCCATCTGTGTGGAGGGCTCACTGTGTGCCCAGAGCTTGCCATGTGTGATGTCACTTCAACCTCACAGCAAGGCTGTCTTTGAGGTGTCCTTCCCGCTTTCCAGATGAAGAGACCAAGGGTCAGAGACATTCTGGAACTTGCTCAGGATCACACAGCCAGGAAGGCCCCAGCCGGTATGAGAACCCATGGCTTCCTGGCCTGGAGGCTGGAGAGGCT